CCTCCAGGGACTCATCAACTTTTAAAGACCTGACTCAGCTGTGAAATGGGGAACACTGCAACTGTTAGCGTAGTTGTGTTTATAGTTTGGTTTCTTGGATTCCTGTGTCTCTTATTTTCTTACATGGGAAGAGATCTGCCAAAAAATTACAATGAGGCCAAATCAATAACTTTCAGTCTCATTTTGTACAATATGTGCTGGATTGTTTATTTCACAGCATTCCTCATTCTCAAAAGCAAATACATCCAGCTTGTTAATGCGATGACACAGCTTTCAAGTATATATGGAATTCTCTTCAGTTACTTCATACCGAAATGTTACATTATAATATTCCAGCCGCAAAAGAACACTGCTGCATACTTTCAAACATCTATTCAGAATTACACCCAAACTATTAGTAGGACTTAGCACAGATTCATTTAGGGGTGAACTGAGAAAATGGGCATACTTTAAATATTTCTATATATATGGGCCATTCTACAGAGTTGGAAACGTCTTGAAAATTTTACAAATTTTTTCCAAAAAAATTGTATGTATGCAAATTGTATAATATCCACACATTTCTAGTAATTGTGCAGTTAATTCTCATATTGTATTTTCAGAAAATTGTGGAATAATTGTCCTCTCCCCAAATTTGACACTACCAAAACACATTAATAATAAATATATATATATATATAGCTATTTGTTTTCAGAGGTGAATCTATAACAATTACATTTTAACAATATTTCAAGTGTAATTTATGAGATTTGTTGTATTTTGAATCCAGTTCTTCTTTGTAAAAGGCAAAAAGGTGATCATACTGATTTCGAAGTTAAGGATTCATTAGTTTGAATATACATTGAACCAAAAACTATCAAAACATCTTAGTTGATAATTCAGTATACTTTATTTTTGACAAAACATCCCATGTTTCGGTAGTGACAGCACATTTTCGGTAGTGACAGTAATGCTTTGGTAGCAACCACATCACATTACAGAATTTTAACTTACATATTAAAACACTACTAAAACATACTAAAATACAAAAAAAAAGCATAACTGTACTAAAATATTGTTTATTTCCCCCAAATATGAGGATTATGTGTTCCCTTTTGTCACTACTTAAATAATGATGACATGTTTCGGTAGTGACAATTCTGTGGGATAACACCCAAAAAACATAGATGTCACTACCGAAACTCCCCCTAATGTTTCGGTAGTGACTGTTTCGGTAGTGATCATTTTAGATATTTTGAACCTAGCTCAAAGATGCTAATCAGCACATGGTTAGCTTGCACAGTTCTGAACAGTGGTATACATATGAAGGACACAGGAATATTTACTGATCATAAATTTATGGGTTTAGTTCAAATCAGTCTTTAAAGCTGATGATTAGATGCTAGCATTAAATGAACACATGCATCCTTTTATTTAGCTGTCCTTTTTAAACATTTCCATAAATGCTTTCATATCCATTGCCATACTGGTTCTTCAGATCCACTTATTACAAGTCTCATTTGTATCTGTTGTTATGTCTGTTTTTGTTGGTGCTGTATTTAAGCATTGTTGAGAAAAAGCAGTCACATTGAAAACGCAAAATGTTTTAATACACTGTCAAAAGGCAGCTGCCGCCGATGTGCCGTTAGACATTTCACTTCATCATTGCCTAAATGGTGATTAAAAAAAAAATAATAAAAAAGTTCAGCCTGTCATTATTATATTTTTTCACTCTCATTTTGTTACAAACATGCAATTCTTTCTTCTGTGAAAGTCAAAAGAAGATCCTTTTTACATTCTATTAACAGTGATTTACCAGGTATATAGATACTGTAGATGAGGATTCATATTTCATATTTTTAACCACAGATTAGTAGTAGAAATATTTATTTGATTCATGGTAATTTAACGTTACAGACCATTGGATATTTGTACTTTAATACACACAGTTCTTCTATTGTATAGATAATGTTGGATCATATAATATATTCAGTGATAACTGGATGTTGTAGATTAATATTATTAATGAACCCAGTACATGTCTACTTAGCTTGAATGCTAACCAAACACACATGAACATTAAATTAAAGTGTTCAGATTTATTCGGAAATGGGATATTTAGAACTGGTACTAAAGTCTGCTGGACACTGGACCTTCAGGAGTGGAGCTGCAAGTGCCAGTGCTCCATTTGGCCAACTGGTGGCGTAATTCGACATATTTTTCAAAGTCAGAATATTCCAGTGAAAATATGCGAATTTTCTTTTCTATAATCTTCCTGGCTGAGGCAACAAAGGTGTAGTTTCCAACCACATAGGCAACGAGAATGTGTTAAAGGGGTCATATGATGCGATTTCAATTTTTCCTTTTTTTTCTTTGGAGTGTTACAAGCTCTTGGTGCATAAAGAAGATCTGTAAAGTTGCAAAGACTAAAGTCTCAAATCCAAAGAGATATTCTTTATAAAAGTTAAGAGTCAGCCACACCTACCTAAAACGGCTCGTTCTAACACGCCCCACATGTCTACGTCACGATGTGGGAAGATTTGCATAACGCCGCCCAAATGTTCACACAAAGAAAGAAAGCGTAACTTTTATTCTCGCTGTAGTATTGTTGTTCCCACCGCCGCCATGTCGCGAAGGCGCTGTGTTTCGTTGTAAAAGCGAAACTTCTTTGTTTGGCCTTCCAAAAGAGGACGATATCCGCTTCAGCGCCGTTCTCAAGCCCGCCGGCCTCCGCTCACTCTAGCCCTCCGTGTGTTTTGTTGTGAAAGCGAAACTACTTTGTTTTGTCTTCCAAAAGAGGACACGACCAGAAATCAGTGGTTAAGTTGTATTTACAACACTGTTCCAGAACTGTTCAACCCAAATATTCAGATGTGTCCAGCGCATTTTATGGAGGACTGTTTCCTGATCCTGGTAGAGTAGACTACAGTGCCGGCTGTTCTGACTCACAGACTGTAAGTACGTTTTCATATTTAAAGGATTTGCCACTGACGATTCAAACGCGAGTTTTGAGCAGTGTAGAGTAGCGCTTGTTTTTTGTCATTTCTCAGGTAACAAATGCAGACATGGTTTTATGTTTATGTGTAAAAAGACAGTATAAGTCATTATAATCCTAATTATGTCCCCACTGGATGCAACAAATGCCTTGTTTTTAATGGGTTTTAATGTTTTTGTCTCGTCGCTCCGGCCGGAATGGTCATCTGAAAACTGCAGCTGACTTCGATCGGCTCCTCCCCATCTTTCAGCGCGTTCTTTTTCAATCCGCAGACCGCAGCGGCGCAGAGCGTGTGTGTGTTTATCGATAGATATGGCGTTATTTTAATGGCAAATGTCAAGAGAGACCATTATTGTAGCGCGAAAGCACATTAATATAATGCGTGAGCGCGAATCTCCCCGCTCGCACGCGGATTTCCTTTGCTCTCGCACAAAACCGGACGCGCGCGCTCAGATACACACTGCTCTCGCCCAGAGAGAGTGCGCACACTTAAAACGTGTCTCTCCTCTCACTCAAACTGTCCTGTGCACTCGCACATCTCTCTGTGCTCATGCGCTAGATATTAATTATTTTCGCACCTGAATTAAATGAGTTTTATAGCCACTAATAAAACAGGACCTCTGTACATTTGTTTGCTGCAAATTTACAGACAATGCAATTGAGATGTTTACATTAGCTTGTTGGGGTAATATTTCTGTCCACTGACAACAGTTTCCCTTCCGAATTAGCTTAACTGCACAAGTTTTATAGTTAATAAAATCTTTTAAAACAAATTACATTATATTTTCATTTCCTTCAATAAAAATGAAATTGAATAAGACAGTGTAATGGTGTGTGGATGTGGATTAGTAATCTGGCCCCTTGGTGTAAAGAAAAAATGCTGGCCCTCTCAATATCAAAGTTGCCCAACCCTGGTCTAAACAGTAGAAGAATTAACACTTTTGTATGCCTTGCATAGATTTAAAACTCATTTACTGTAACTAGTAGAACAACACTTTGCTTGCACGCTGTAGTTTCACAGGGTTGATTATGCAAAATCTAAACATATAAATGAAAAAGCAGAGCAGAGTTTTTTTTTTATGTAATCAGGCTAGCTCATGATGACTAACTCATCACATAAACTCACACTCAACACTGAGCTCACCGCTATACAACACTTCATGCATTGTTACAGAAAGAGATCTAACACAGGAAGTCAAGGGTCAAGAGCCCAACTAAAGCAAACACTGATCTCCATGATGGTGGCATCATTTTAACCAATAAAACATCAACATCTGACCCTCTGTAATTCTCAATAACAGCAGGTGTTCATCATTAATGCACAATCATCATTTAATTAGTCGCTTAATTATCTCATTAAATGTAACTCTTTGAGGACTTGGGATTTGACTCCAGACTTGCTTGTCACTTAAAGGAATGACTTGGTCTCACCTCTGGTGAAAACAGCTGGCTGATCGTTCATGGGTGGAATAAACATATGGCAGGACTTTTACTTTTGGACCCCTGGACTTTCCACCTCTGCCTACAGGATGCAACATATTTTACACCCTGGGTTAGAGGCAAAAAGTGTTATGTATTTATTTATTTATTTTATTTCTTTATTTATTTTTTGTGAAACGCACACTCATCCAAATCTCTCTCTCTCTCTCATCCAGACTCCCGCTCTCTCTTTCTCCATTTTTTTTTCATGCATCAGCGAACCCATTCATTATTTTAACAGAACGCATAGGCCTATTTTGTGCGCCAAAAATACGAAGCGAGGAAAATTGACGGGCCGCCCCCACCTTTTCAGAAGCTGGTGCCGATTTTCCACATTTTGGAGTTATAAAGACAGTTCTCTGGGAAACCTACGATTAGGCTATACTTTAACACAGAAGCATAACCATAACAATCCTCTATCGTATTACAGCCGCTAATAGAGCATTTTGAAAAGTCTTTTGATTTGTTGTTACTTAAAACTACAGTTCCCTTGTTAAAGACATTTGTGGAACCCCTTATTTATTTTACATATCTTTGGACTACTACAAATATTGAGACGAAAATAGAGCTGTAGCTATTGGAGAAAGACGGTAGGTTTGTGGATCTTCCAAAAGAGAGAGTTTCATATTTGAAATTAAAGATAAGTACAAACACAGAGAAACATGGACATTTTTTGTCCATGATGTAATGGCAAGAAACCATGTTTGATTCCTTGTCTTATTTTGCGTTCAAACGAAAGCAGTGTACACAAGTCGTTTATTCTTATACAAATGAGTCGCAAGTTCTGACGAGTAAATGGCAGATGTTTTGCAATTCAAGGCGCATCCATAGACAGGATTTAGTGCTTCACAATGAGGGGGCCCGTCTTTTGTTAAGCTCTTGTGTTTCTCATTGAAAGGCTTTACAAAGGGTTCATCCTTCATGGAGTTTTAAAGTTACTTTCCACTAGTTCATTTCAGACCTTGAGAAAACCTAAAGCAATGTTAATGTCCCTCTCTTTTCCTTTGAGACCGAGATCTCAGTCCACACAACCAAACACAGGGCATTGTGCACCTGAACCAAAGCCTTCTGAATAACTTGCAGTCTATAGAAATTCATTATAGAACATGTTTGATTAGCCCAATACAAACAGGACGGACGCGTGGCATTTTACAGTGACACAAATTAAATATGTCAAATTGTAGTTGTTAAATATAGTTGGTATCAAGTTGGGTATTTTGTTGAACTTTGCGGGAAGCCATTTGTTTCATTTAGTTTTTTTCTTTTCTTTCTAACCTCTGAATAGTAAAGGCGGTTCTCCGATTTGTTTCGCTCTTGGTTGACCCGTTCCGTGACATTCAGAATTCCCGAAGACAGGCCATTATCTTTTGCATAAGCTAAATTCGTTCAGTAGGCCTATATCATATTTTCAAAATAGAGTAAAGAAAGATATAAAGAAATAATAAAGATGACTAGAAAGTGTAATGTAGGCTAAATATTCAAATTTAAGGTGCACACCCATATGTCTATACATATATATATATAATTGTATATTGTCTGTATTTGTTGTTTCTTTTGTAGTGCTGTATTTATATTGCATGTATTTATATTCATATCAGTTAACGAGTCTGTTTTTTTTTTCTATTTTGCTGAGTTTTAACATCAGCCCACAGTGTCAGTATTAATAAGATGTAGTTAATGTGGTTAATTGTTAATCAGAGGGCATTGTGCGACCTAAGAGACCAAAACATATTTAGCGCATTTGTAGAGTGTCTACAAAAGTTTTTTTTTTTATTATTATTATTATTTTTTGCATTTTTAAATCTTTGAATTGTGTTTGTCTGGCTTCAATTTAACGTACAGGACCTAATTGTGAGCAGAGAAAACAGATTTTCTTCAGAATGTGGTGGCTAAATTAAAGGGCTAATGTGCTGCAACATGTTAAATTTAAGCGTGAAAACAGCATGATAAACAGCATCGACGAAGCACAAAGGAGTGAATCCATCCACCATGTACCTAACTGCTGTGCTCCAATTTCATACCGATTTCGCGCTACTTTGCAGGACAGTACTGCAGCGTTTTGAAACAATTATTCGGCGCATTACACGCAATTTAATCTGAGATTTAGGCCTACTTGCTAAAGTGATTTTCTGTAGCAACATAATCAATACGCACAGACAAATCAGTAGGCCTACAGTATATTTTATTTCTAAAAATGTAGAGTTATCTCTATTAGACTATAATTTAGTAATCAATTAGATTTAGAAAGAAGAAGAAGAAGAAGAAGAAGAAAGGAAAGAAAAAGAGTCATATAAGGCTATACATTGCCATTTATCCTGTTGCGTGTCCTGTGTCTTAAAGGGGTCATATGATGCGATTTCAAGTTTTCTTTTCTCGTTGGGGTGTTACAAGATGTTCGTGAATAGATAAGATCCCTAAAGTTGCAAAGACTAAAGTCTCAAACCCAAAGAGATATTCTTTATAAAAGTTAAGACTCTAAGCCCTCCTAAAACAGCTCGTTTAAACACTCCCCCACATGTCTACGTCACTGTGTGGGAAGATTTGCACAACACCACCCAAATGTTCACGCAAAGAAAGAAGGTGTAACTTTTATTCTGGCTGTAGTATTGTTGCTGACAAACCGAATATTCATATGTGTGCAGCGCATTTTAGGGAGGATGAGGACCGTTTCCTGATCCTGGGAGAGTAGCCTACAATGCCGGCTGTTATAATATAAATAATGCTAAATGTTTACGTGGCGCAATGCAACGTAACGTGTAAAAAGACAGTATAAGTCATTATAATCCGTAATTATGTCCCCACTGGATGCAACAAATGCCTTGTTTATAATAGGTTTTATTGTTTTTGTCTCTTTGCGCTGTGACACGGCATCACAGTATGGTAAGGGCATAACATTTCCGTCACACGCCTGATGTATTCGGCCAATCACAACGCACTGGATAGCTGGCCAATCAGCTTATACCTGGCTTTTCAGACCAATGAGCTTTGTAAAAGCGTTTCAGAAAGGTGGGGCATAGAGGAGAAACAATAATGTACAGTATGTGGAAAATAATGTGTTTTTTGAACCTTAAACATTTTATTACACCAAATACACAAAATAATGTTCTTTTTTAGCAACGTCATATGACCCCTTTAAGTCAACATCACAATCTTTCTCATTTTATAACTGCACGAAATTTGTCATATAGTCTGTTTGTTATGATAGACAGGTCTATAATAATTTTTAAGTGGAATTCTGTTTTCCTCCAAAATATGCACATTTTTGTAGACCTGGCGAGATGAAGGCAGACGTTAAATTATAGGACATATGCTATATTAAATGATTAAATTTATTATTATGCATAGCCTAAATGCTGAGTAATTTGTAAAAGAGTGCAAGTACAAAGTGTAGTAAAAGACTATGTCCTACAGTGAATGCATATAGTGCACAGTTAGCCTAACGCTAAGTCAAAGACTTTCTCAAGGACCCACTCTATTGATGGGGAAGTGTGGAAAATCAGGCGGATAGGGCCCTCGAGGAGGCGTTCCTCTGATTCTCCTCGCTCTGCTGTTTGAAGGGAACATCTGTGAGAATTCTAATTTTTTTAGACATTACGTCCAAACTGCAAAAAAAAACAAAAAAAAACAAGAGGTAGCCTGCACTTTTCGGTTTCGGATTTTAGTAAACACACACACACACACACACACACACACATACACAAACACAAACACAAACACACGAATTTCATCTTATGACAAACATGAGCGCATACCTTACACATACGAATTATTTTTAATTAAGCATTGAACATTTGTTCTGATAAATGTTCTTCACAGAAAATGAGCCAAGGCCAATGAGTCTGAGTTTGAAAAAAATAATTAATAGTATTATTTTTCTTTTGATAAAAAGTGAAAACGGGTCCCACAGACCCGAACACCATACAAGGGTTAAACACACACACACACACACACACACACATACATACATACATTGGAGTCTGAATACAAATCAATCAAATGAGTTGTGGAAGGACTAGCTGTATACATTTTGTCTAGCTCAAATATAGCCTAACTGATTTCAGTACCTTGGACAACGACACCACAAGCGGTGTAGCGCTGGGCTGTGTTTCTCAAAAGCAATATGTGAGCTTCTCGTTTCTCGTAAAGACCATTGGGGGCAATGATTCTACGATCTTACAATGCTTTTGGTAAAATGCAGCCTTTCTACACTATTAAAAATAAAGCTTCTTTATTGGCATCTATGGTTCCACGAAGAAACTTTAATATCCAATGAACCTTTCCATTTTCTTTATAGTGAACAAATGTTCTTTAAAAAATGTTATTCACACTAAGAAAAAGTGGTTCTTTTAAGAACTGTTAACTGAAATGTACTTTGGGGAGCCCAAAATGTTTCTTATGGTGTTTCCGTGTTGCCATGCCCCTGCCCCTAGTAGTAAAGCTGAACACTCTTAATAAGAAAAAAAAAAAGACCAGTCTTACCAAAAGTGGCTATATGACGTTGAGATCCAGTTTTTACATGGACCCACAAATGGTGCAGTTTGCAAAAGTAGTTTATTGAAGACGATTGAGAATGACCGCAGTGGGATACCAGTCACCATGACGATATGCTTATTAGAGAGGTAAATTGTCACTTTGTTCGCTCATTGAGACCTCTGCTGTGCGGAACCGGAGGATGAACCGTGAAACCAGGGACGAATAGTTTCAATAGTAAGTCGCAGCGTAGCATATGGTGCTGCAAGCACACCGAACGCTGACACCAACAAATTGCAGATTTCATACTAATTTTCTCTGGAGGGACATTCCATGCCACCCACGCGACTCATCTGTGTGGCTTTTTGCGTTGTCTTGTTGTTCAGTGTTGGCTAGCATTCTTAAGCTACCTAGACATGTATTTACAAAAAAATAAGTAATCAAAATAAGACAAAATAAAACGAATTATGTTTAAACATGTTTGTTTAACTATATTAGTGAGGACATTTAATAGACGTCTATTGTTTTTTATCAGGTGAATACATGCGTAAACTAACTCATAAAAAATAAGCCTCCAAATAACCTGTGCAAAAAGCTAGATTTACATAACCTGAACTTGATTTGGCCGTTTTAACTAGGTGTTAACACAATAGTCGGGGTTCAAGAAGGTTGAGTGAGAACATTTTACTTTTTAAAATTTGCAACATTTTACTAGTTTACTAAATATTTGGGGACATTGCATATACTTATAGTCCTATTGCTTTTATATACAGCTGTTTAGAAATATCGTAACTTAACCTTAACCCGCACCCTAACGGAGAACTTTCTTCAAAATAATGTTTTTTTTTTCTTTTTTTAGCGATATTATCATATTTAGCTCACTTATGGGTTAAATAGATTCGTTCGAGCAAGCGCATATCTGAATTTTTGAGAAGCCTAAACGATTCCACTCTGTCATGAACCGAACAAAGAACAAATGAAAATACATTTGGTTTATTTTAAATATATGAATTATTTGTGACAGATGAAAGAATATTTCACTAATATATATAGAAGAAAAATTTTGTTTGGAAATGAGAATAGCCCCGTATTTTGAAAGAATACGAATTTACGATAAGAACTTTCATCAATAGGCCTAATTTAGCGCGATAAAGTCAATATTCGCTGATAAATTTGTACTAAAAACAGTGTTCGCAAGTCTTCGTTCTTATACAGATTTTGTTGCTTTTCCTGGAGGCTAAATGACAGAAGATTTGCAACTCAAAGAGCCCCAATAGACAAAATGTGGTGCTTAACAATGTGAGGGGTCTTTTGTCTTTCGTTTCTGATTGAATGGCTTCACACTGCTTCCATCCTTCGCGGGTTTTAAGTTACTATCCACTAATTTATTTCAGCCCCATAAGAATACCCAAAGCAATGTAAATGTGCCCTTCTGTTTTTCTTTCCTTAGCCAGTAACCTTAGTGCACACAGCTAAACACAAGACCGTGCACGTCTAATTCAAAGTAAAGACTTCTCAAAGACCTGCGCTCTAGTCTATAGAAATTCATGACATACAATGTTTGATCAGACCAAAAAAAAATAAAAAATTGTCGCGCGGCATTTAACTATTTGTAATAATTATTATTATTTAATAAACAATGCAGAATACAGTATGTGGATCATCAGCATTTTACAAAATAAACGTTAAATCCAAGTCTTGTGAATTATACTTTGCTGAATTTAATATAGGCTATATATAGTTTTTTAATATTCGGAAAAGTTGATGTTTGGAAAATTTGCTCTGATGACATGTAGTACATCACCTGCAGGACACATTGCAAGTAAGTTTTCACTGTAAAAATGTAACATTAAAAGGAAACACTAAAACAATCTTTCAGAATACAAAACCAACCCTGCATCATAAACATAATGCAACGGCTTTACTGATGTTATAGTTTATAGTTTATAAGTTTATCTCAAATGTCTTTGAATTGTGATGACAGTTTTGTTTGACTTGTTTACATTGTTGGTAACCCTGTCATTTGGAGCTCAAGAACATCAGGTGTGTCTCTTTTACCGCCATGCTTTTTGTATTTACATGTTAACAATGAATGGTAGCCCTTTGGAAAAGAAACGTTTATTGCAGTAATTGTATAATTATACTTCACTAATTGTTGTTAACAAGCCATAGAATACTTCAGTCACTACATGATCTTCTAACTAGGCGCATGATAAAGGGCAGTTAGGGTTAATCAGTTACAGATGGAGAAAAGTGAAAGCACTTCCAAGCTTTTGATAAACATGCGCTTAACCATTATCGCAGTCTATGCCAATTTCGAGCACAAATTGTCCCCGTCTTGTTTCTGACAAGGTTTCTTAACATGACAATAAAGTGATTTTTTCCATCTAAGCTTTGTGCGTTTAATATATATTTCATCTGATCTAAAACTATAGACTTTGGCACAGTTAACTAAGTAAATTGATTTGCTGTTGAAAATTAACTGCTAATACAACGTTGGTGTTTCTGTGCGTGAGACTGACGCGCAAATCAGCTTCACAAAAGAGAGCTGATTTGCTCCGATTTCATACTGATTTGTGCCATTTTACGCTGTGAAAAGAGAAACAACTGCGGCGTTATTAACCAATTTGTTGGCCATTACAAACGATTGAATTTTAAATGCTATAACAAACATGCATCTGTAACCCGGCATGTCCTTTAGCCGAACGTGTTAAGAAAAACTTAAAATACGGAACAACAGAAAAGCTATTAATTAAAATTATGATGTTAAGATCACTTTATATCGCCTACATATTAATCAGAAGCGACACCATTGCGGTACGGACTTTTTCTGATGGACAGTACCAGAAATTGCTATAAACAGACTAGGCTACTTAAAATAGCAAAACACTTTCCCTCTCGATGTATTTAACGTAATGTTGTAAACACTGTACACTTTTTTGCAAAGTTTTGATGCAATATTATTGTTTTGTAAAAAGGAACTGATTCCTTGAAAAATAACTTATTTTAGAAGACATACAATAGACCCGAAATATCAATCGCTTCGCTATACATATATAAACTGCAGTGTTTTTCATTGCTTTCTAAAGGCTCTTGACCGGAGCTGCTGAAATGGTCATGTGAGTCCATCCCGGTGTCACGTTATTTGTTCCCTTTGTATAAATAAAGCTATTATATAGTGAGGCCGTCTCAAGCAAAAAAAAAGGTCTTAAAGCTATCAATGGACATTCATTCGTCCTGTCGCGTGTCACGCTTTTGAAGTCATTCTCTGTCTTTTTTTACTGCGCATGTGCAACAGGACATTATAATTTTAATCAAAGAAAAAATAAAAACCAAAATGGCATTGCTGCAGCAATGTGCATACAATTTTTGTTCAAATAATCAATATTTGAACAAAATAAGTTAGCCGAAATAAAAGTATCCAGAAATGAACCATGCTGTGGCATGATCTGACGCGAGTCTGTGTTGATTTTGAACTGTTCATCATTTTTATGTGAAATTGTAATTTTTCCTTAGTTTTCCTTGCTGGAAACCATAGGGCCTATACTTTAGTGTTTTTTTTTTTTTTGGAAAATCCCTGTATGACATTTCCAAGGACAGGCTCTATTGATGGAGAAGTGTGGACAATCAGGCGGATAGGGCCCTTGGACAGGAGGCGTTCCTCTGATTCTCCTCGCTTCGCTCTTTGAAGGGAACATCTGTGAGAATTCTACTTCTCTTTGAGAACATGTATGTTACCAAGCTTAAAACTTAGAGCTTTACTTGTAGCATGACCGTCTGTATTCTACAGACAACCAAAGAATCCTAGAGCGTTTTTGGCGGTTTTAGAAAATGTAGCTTTGGTTTGTATAATCTTGACGTTTTAATTCAGTAAAGGTGATTAGGGGGCTCTGACTATTCATCCCTTTCTCTTCAAGTTTCACGCCATGTTGAGACAGGCAGCACCGTGGAAATCTTTTCCGTGTCTTCACAACGTGGCCAATTTCTGCCAATAAGGAAGGGGGCCTTATTGGCAGA